ATGAACGTATAGGAATAAGAATGTACGTGAACTGGGTTGGATACAAAGATGTTGAAATTTGTCAAGTTAAGGTAGAATACTCTTAAAATAGACCTAGAATTCGTTCTAGTTTTGAAATTGTCGAAAATTAAACTAAGTTTCTCTAGAATTCAGTCTCAATTAGTCCATATCCGGGGGCGTGCGTGCGGCGGCGAGACGAACTGCAGGTGAGTAGCGAAAATATAATGGTGAGAACTGTTTCTACAAAAATTCGGGATTTTTTGGGAATCGACGCACCTCCCCCCGATTATCTTATGGTCCGCCGTCCCTCAGGCCCCGTTCACACGTATCTTGAAATTTTTGTATCCGCAAATTTTTTTTTGCGGATACGAAAATGTTCGCGTCCACACGCAGCGTATTCGAATCGTTTTCACTGTCCACACGTATCCGGAAATTTCTTGATCCGCACGCTAGTGTCTAGTCCCTTTGACGGATAGTTTTTCTTATTGAGCATGCGCAAAATCGTGTTTACTTTATCGTATTTGAAAATTTGCGGATACGGATACAAAAATTTCCGGACACGTGTGGACGGGGCCTTAGAATAACATATATGTCCCCCTGGTTATCCCTCAAAACGGCAATGTATTATATGATGTTAATGGCGAATAATTACTTTTCCGTCAAATATTACAAAAATAGAACTCATCAGTTTTTAATAACGGCTCACTACTCACAAATATATCATATCTCACGAAAAGTAGAGTCTAATGTTCGTTTATCATTTGAAAAGAATTCTAACGGCTTGCTTTTTATGATGAAGCCTGTTTAATGTACTATTCAATTGAAACCCCTACTTCCTGTCCCCCGGGACAGGGCGGGGAATTTCACATTCATGTAAATTGAACTACGCGTTAAATTCCCCCATATATCCATTCCTTTCTCGCTTTTAAATGTTTAATCCCCGGTCTTGCCGCATGGACTCCCCGCCCTGTCCCTGGGGTCAGGGGCTTGACTTGTGTAGAAGCTGATCGATATTTTCTACGGGTTTTCTAGTCGTACTATTGAAATACATAATTTTCTTTGTCAAAAATTTCGATGTCACTGTCACTGTCGCTGGAGAGGTTGAGCCTGGCCTTAATCGTTGATGCGCTCTTGGAAGTTCTAGGGGGGAGGAAAGAGGTATTTAAATGTTATAAAATAAAATAGAATTAAAAAAAAAAAATTTATAGAAAAAAGAGAGAAGGAATAGAATGTATGGAAGAAAAGAAGAAAGGATGAAATAAAGAAAGGGACGAAAGAAGGTAGGAAGGATTTAAGGAAGGCAGGATGGAAGGAACGAAGGAAGAAATGAAGAATGGAAGGAATGAAGGATGGAAGGAAGGAAGGAAGGAATGGG